AGCTGAAAGCAGGTATCTGGAATTTATTTATCTTCTATAATTGAAACTTTGTAGCCTTGAGCGGAGCCCACAGCCAGCCAGGGCAGGTGAGAAGCTTGGTTTCCTCCATTGCCAGGGGCAAACCCAAGCCTCCTGTTGGCTCCAGCTCCGTGGCCGCTGCCATCTTGGTTGGGTTTATTTGCATACTCGCTCCTGATTGACTGGTGGGTGTGGCTGGTGGGTGTAGCGGAGGTATGGTCAATTTGCATGTTTCTCTTTTATTAGATAAGATAGATTTGCCTCTATAGAACTTAGGAGAGTGTTCTGTATGAGGTGGGCCTTCTCTAACTGCTAGATCAGAATATTTGAAAACTGTTTCTTCCCATTTCTCTTCCCTAGTAAGCAGTTCTCTTCCTCTCCTGCTTAGAAAGAAACAGACCATTTGACTCTCCTCCAACACCTCAATTTCCATCCAATATGTAGTGGGCCTAGGAGTGGGGAGGGGGGAGAAACCTAGATAAGCATTCATATCGTAAGGCTCCCAAACAGGTCATAAGTAGAAATGCTAGGCCCTCAAGAGCATGACAACAGGAAAACTCATTTATAGGAGCTTTCTTTTATAAAGAAAGGGGCATTTTTTCATTTTTTAAGTCCAATCTGGTAAGATTCTGACTTCATGTAACCAGTACTCTGCCCATCATTCAAAAATAACAACAAAACAACAATTTGTTCCAGTGTTCTATCTACAACCTGACATTATCCCCAATAGTTGATTCAATAAACACAGGTTAAAAAAAATCACACTTTATCTCCTCTATGAAAAACCTAGAAATTGGGTCTATAGTAAATAAGTAGTAGCAAAAGTAGAAATGTAATTTTGTTCTTTGTAAGTATCTGTACAACATCCCTTCCCTCTGCTGTTTTCATTTGCATGCAACATCCTTTATAGTATAAATCACTATAGAGACAGACAGACAGACAGACAGACATGATGTGGTGCCAGAGAGCAGGGCTGCTCTGTAATCTTGGGCAAGATACTGAATCATCCTGTGCCTCCATTTCCATGTCTGTGAAACAGATATGGTGATAGTACTTACCTTAAAGGGTAATTATAAAGTAGGCTAATACAGATAAAGTATTTGAAACAGTCCTTGATGAGTACTCTAGTGCTAGCTATTACCATTATTACAGCAATTAAATGCTGTGACAATTTTTAGTCACTATTTGCATTTTTTTACTTTGTTTTTTGAAAATGTTTCTAATGGCTAACATCCAATGAACTCTTCTTCAGACACACAAAATGGGAGAGGAAGAAATGTGTGTGTTGTTCAGACAAAAACATATAATTTGAACATCTGTTTTATTTGACTTTCAGTCAGGTGTTTTAATTCTTTTGGATAAAAGTCTGTATTTTACACCTCTTGTCAATAGTTCTTATTCTAGCTGCAGACTTTTCAAACAGCATTAATGTACCGACTCTCTACAACCTTTTTGTTCACATATTCATTTAACAGTGAGAAGTAGAAAGCAGATGTAAGCAATACTCATTCTCTTGATTATTAGGAATAAAACCTTTCAACAAGCCCCAAAGACAAAGTACTTCCCATTTAACACACAGTAACGACTGATCTATAACTGCTGTACAGTTTACAAATTATGTAGTACTTCGATTGGAAATCCCAAACCCATTTCTCTACAACTCCCACACCCTCTACTTCTCCATAACTCTTTAGGGGAGGAAGCTAAGAAATTCTGGTTCCTAAGGATACAAAAAGATCAACATAAGTAATCCCATACTGCTTCTTTCTGCATCTTTCTTCTCCTAGGTAGGTCATAGCTAAAGAAAGTTGCAAGGTGCCAATGGATCAGGCTGTCTAATCTCTCCTGAGTCTTCACTACTACTTGGCAATCACTTTCACTTATAATGTATCCACCCTGACAGTACTGACAGCTTTAACAAACCCCCCTTACTTTCCCCATCCCTATATCCCCCACCTACAATCCAGACACATATCTCTTCATTCTAGCAGTTTTCAACCTCGGTGAGGTAGCAAAAGCCACCTGAGAAAGCTTCTGTAAATGACAAACCACTGCTCCTGTTGCTGCCTCCCTCTTACCCCAAAATTCTTATGCACCTGTTTGGAAGAACAAGCCAGAAACTCAGGGAGAGACATATGTATCTGAAAAGGTGACTTCCTTGTGGGTAGAGACCTAATCTTACTCATTTCTATTCCTAGCACTTAACCAAGTGGGCTCTCAGCAAATGAATACCCAAACCAATGAAATCATTTATTAAAGTAACCAATCTTGTGATGTCTCCAAATGTCTCTTGTCAGTTTACAGTCTGTAGCATTTTCACGATAGTGAGGTAATATGTTATAGTGGTTGAAAGCACAGACTCTGAAGACAAATTAGTGGGTTGGAATGTGAACTACACTGCAAAGCAGGAGCTCTGTAACTTTGGACAGAAGTTACTGAACCTCTCTGTGCTCCAACTTTCGCATCTATAAAATAGGAGAGAATAAGAGTACCTACCACACAGGGTATTGTGAAAATAAAATATTAGTACATGTAAAGAGCTTAGAAGAGTGCTTAGAATGGAGCAAACACTATATAAATGGGAGCTAACATTTTTCTCTGAAGCCGCATGCCTGAATTTGAGTCCTGTTTCTGATATGTACTTAAGTGTTAATGATCACAGGCAAATTACTTGATCTCACTGTGCCTGTTTCCCTATCTATAGAATGGGGATAATGATAGTATCTATTTCACTGGTTGTCATGAGAAATAAAAGAGGAAATATGCAACACATATAGCACAATGTCTTGTACATAAAGCACTCAGTAAATGGTAGCTATTATCACCTCAGTCTCACGTGCATTTTGGCTGCTGAAGTTGGTTTGTTGTGGCCTGACTCTGGTGTATGTGTGGGTCCAATCAGGTAAGTTCCATCAGATGAGATCCTGACCAGCTCCAACCCCTTTCCACAGACAAGTTCTTAATCTAATGTCCATAGTGAGCTTTAAAAACTTTTTATTCAAAATTGGGTATAAAAGAATGGTGTATATTTTTCTGAGACAAAGGGCCATAGCTTTCATTAGCTCCTCAATAAGTAAATGACCCTAAATAGATTTTTAAAAACAAAACAAAACCTATTGCCAATACCATTACCAGTACAATTTTCATCTTTTTCTTCTCTTAAAACAATTTCTACACCTTCCCCTGAGTCTCTAAATCAAAGTTACAGTATTTTAAAAAGTCTCTCTGCAATGTGATTCTAGTATAATCCTTCTCATTTATAATATTGCCAGATTATTTCTTCAAAAGAACTATAATAGTACTTTCTCTGCTCAAAAACCTAAATAATGTCCAATATCCAATATCTTAGCTGAACATTCAAGCCTTTATAACTTGGCCATAGTCTACCTTTCCAGCCTTGTCCTCCATACATGGCCCTAAAGGAGTCACTTGCCATTGTAGAAATCCACATGGCTTTCCTCCATATCTCACTCTACTCTGTCTAGAATGTCTTCAACACCACTTTCTCCAGTAAACCAATACCCTTCTTTAATAGTTACTGTCTTTAATAACAAATATATTTCATTCCCCCTGCTAAATAGTAAATTCTTTGAGGACAGGGACTATGGCCTTCTTTACTTTTATATTCTCAATTTTACCTAGTATCATGGTTTATAAATTTAGATAAATATTAGTTCTCTGGTAATCTTTTCAAAGTTAGTAGACAGAACATTTCAAGAATTTCTAGATATTCATGAAATTTGAAATACCAAATTTCAATCTGTTAACTAAAGCTATTAAAAGGCAAAAACTGCTATGTCATAACATAATTTTCAACACACTGTAAGTTATAGTTGTGCCCTGAAGGACACAACTATGGTTACAGCATTATAAAGATTAAGTGGACAGCCCTAGTGGTTTAGCTCAGTGGATAGAGCAGTGATGGCGAACCTATGACACGCGTGTCAGAGGTGACACGCAAACTCATTTTTTTGGTTGATTTTTCTTTGTTAAATGGCATTTAAATATATAAAATAAATATCAAAAATATAAGTCTTTGTTTTACTATGGTTGCAAATATCAAAAAATTTCTATATGTGTGACACGGCACCAGAGTTAAGTTAGGGTTTTTCAAAATGCTGACACGCCGAGCTCAAAAAGGTTCGCCATCACTGGGATAGAGTGTCGGCCTGCGAACTGAAGGGTTCCGGTTTGATTCTGGTCAAGGGCACATGCCTGTTTTGTGGACTTGATCCCCAGAAGGGGGTGTGCAGGAGGCAGCCAATCAATGATTCTCTCTCATCACTGATGTTTCTATCTCTCTTTTCCTCTCTCTTCCTCTCTAAAATCAATAATAAATATATTTTTAAAAAATAAAATCAATAAAGATTAAGTGGACAATAAATTTCCAAATCATATATATGATAATGGTATTCTATCACTAAGGACTTACAGAAGAGTAATAGAAACCACCTCCTCCCTTCAAATACCTAAGTTCTATGAACCCCACAATGTTATTATCTCAGTCAATTGCCTAGAAACATTCAAAGCCCAGTTAGTGACAGAAGTAAGGTTTCAATCCAAGGTTCCTAAATCAGGGGCAAGTTCCCTAGACTGGTGGTTCCCAACACTTGCTGCAGTTTAGAATCCTCTGCAGAGTTAAAAAGAACAGATTCCTGGCCCTCCATCCACACCGATTAAATCAGACTTAAGAAATGCTGCTGGAGATTACAATTTGTTTTAAAAATTCCCAGTGGATACTAATTTTCAGCCAGGGCTGAGAACCACTGGCCTAGACTGGTTGAAAATCTTATATATCTTGACAATTATCATAAAAGTCAATCTTTTAAGATCAACTTAAGCTATACAGAATGGATGAAACTTATCCTCTAATTTACTGACTTGGGCCTATATGCCAACAATTAGTCTTGAATTTACAAAGCTGCTATCTTCTTTTCTGGGATGAGGCATTATGAAGAAACTCATGACAGTAATTCACTTACACTCCTCTTTACTTGGTGAAGTTACATTCAGTTCTGTCGGAAGCGGCTGCTGGCTGGGACTAAGAGTTGGCGTGGTTATAGAGGTATTGTTGTTGTCACTGGTGGTCTCTTCGGAAAACAAATCTGATTGGCTGTTACTTGTACTTGGAGCGGAATCATCGTCTGGTTGTTTCTTTTGAAAATCTGAAAAGAAAAAGTAAGAAAACCAATTTAATTAAGGCATTCATAATCTCCTTGGGTATCAGAACAAAATGAAAGTTAGCAGAAAGATAAATGTAATAGCAGCAATAATAAAGACTAATTTGGGTGCTTAAAAAATGGAGGTGCCCTGACCGGTGTGGCTCATGTAAACTGGTTGGAGTGTCATCTTGTACACCAAGTGATGGTGGGTTTGATTCCTGGTCAGGGCACTTACTGGGGTTGCAGGTTTGATCCCCAATGGGGTGCATGCGAAAGGCAATCAATGTGTGTGTGTGTGTGTGTCTCTCTCCCCTCTTTCTCTCTCCACCCCACCCTTTCCTCTCTCTAAAGTCAAACTAAAAAATGGAAGTAAAATACTGGTCAAAAACATAAAATTGATAGAGGATAACTACAATGAAAGCTTTCCAAGGTCCTCACATTGTTTAGAAGAATGGTAGAATGCTGATTTTAATGTAAGACTTTGCAAAGCAAAATGCATGTTAAAAATTTAGGGATAATAGAAAGAAAAAGAAATATAGAAAAGTTGCTCAAACAAACAGAAGACAGGTAAAAAGAGAAAAAACTGCAGGAAACAAAGCAGGGTAAATAGAAGACACATAATAAAATAGTAGAAATAAGTACAGACATACTAGTAATGGTAATAAATGTAGACAGACTAAACTTAGCAGTTAAAAGAAAGTTCAGACTGAATAAACAAAGTCTTGTTCCTTGCAGTTTACAGGAGACATACTAAAAACATAAATATGAGGATATAGAAAATTTAAGTCTATAAAAATATACCCACAAATACACAATTAAAAAGCCAGTAATAGCTCGAATATTGTCAGAAAACAGACTTTAAGGCAAAGAGCATTATTAGAGATAAAGAGGATCATCATATAATAGTAACAAAAGAATTCTTTACCAGGAAAATAAAACAATTCTGAAACTGTATGTACCTATTAACAAAGCCTCAAAAGCAAAAATGATTGTATTTACAGAAAACTGACAAATTTACTAACATAATAGAAAAATTTTAATATACTTGTCTCAGACAGAATAACTAGTAAAATTCACTAAGATTAATAAGCATATACAGAGTAAGGATAAAGTAGGTTTACAGTTGTTTATATGAAAAATATAATAATAAATAATACAAGAATCAATTGTTTCGCATACAACTGCAAACCTACTTTTGCCCTGTATAGACTCATGCACCCTACAATTAGATAATGAATTTTTAAAAAAACACATGAAGAATATTTATAAAAACTAACTAAAACCTGGCTAAACCATGATCACACACATTAGGCCATAAAGCAAAAGTTTCAACAGATGCCAAAGAGTTAGTATGATACAGACATGATTAGCTAGCTGATCAGAGAACAATTAAGTTAAAAATCCATAATAAAATTCTATATGGAAAAATTTAAAAATACATTTTAAGCTGATGGTTTCAAAAGTACTTATAATAAAATGATAATAAAATTACTACTTATCAATATCCAGTAACAATAAAGATGCACATACATCACCTGTACCACAATCATTTCATTCCTAAATATATCCCTGAGAGAAACTCCACACACACGTACATCTTAATTTTATATTGTCCATAACAGTAAAAAGTCAGATATAACCTGAAGGTTTATATATTGCAATGTAATGAGATACTAGAATAATGTACATAAGTGAGAAAAAGTAACTATTGCCAAATACATCAACATGAATCTCGAAATCATAACATTGACCAAAAAATGCAAGGCACTAAATAACATAGTAAGATTGTACTTACATACATCTTAAAAAATAGGTAAAACTCAATATATTGTTTAGGAATGTGTATGTTTAACCACTAAAAAATATTAACACAATTCAGGATAGTGGTTACCTCTTAGGTTGAGGAAGGGAGATATGAAGATGAGAGGTTACAAAAATATTCAAAATTATAGGAATTCCACTGACAGAGAATGGATTAAAATGGTATATTCAAGCATATAATGGAATGTTCTATGACAGTTAAAATAAGTGAATAAAGCTACAAATATAACAGAAAAATCTAAAAAACAATTCAGAGAGAAAAGCAACCCACAGAAGGATATATAGTATAATAATATTTATATAATAAATTTAAATATATAAAATACCATTTATTATTTATGAACACATAATTAAAATACAAAAACACGCATGGAAATGACACACCAAATTCAAGATAGTCATTATTGGGGGAGGGAAAAGAAGAGGAGATTTCAAATCTAGCTGTACTTCTTTATTTCTTAAAGCTGATGATAGGTTAAAATTATTATGTATGTTATGTATATGTTTCATTTTAAAAATCTACCTGGGGGGCGGGTGTGGGGTGGAGGGGGTCAATGGGAAAAAAAGGAACATTTGTAATATTTTCAACAATAAAGATAAATTTTTAAAAATCTAATGCTAGACTATGAAGTACAGATTATATTTTACTATGTCAATTCAGAGAAGGATAGACGATCCTGGCAACTCCACATTGCTTTATCATTTGAACCACAGAGAAGCTGCTATTATGCTGTATAACCTTATCAGAACTACTGTTTTGAGATATTGAGTATCAGAATATGTTACCATGAGGCTAGGCACTAAGTGAAATGTTTTAGGTATATAATACATTTACTTTAATCCTAGAGACAAGGCTAACAAGGGAGGTATAGTTAACACCACTTTACTGATGAAGAAATTGAGGCTCAGAAAGTTTAGGTCATTTGTTCCAAGTTACAAGTTAGTAAATAGTAGGATCAGGATTTAAATGTAGCTCCATCTGACACCAAAACACATGGTATTCAATCACAGGATGTAGGAATGGTGAACACTAGACTGGCCAGGAAAAGGCCTCCACATCAAGACCCCACCCAGTTATAGCAGCAAAGATGAGTGCAATGGAAAAATCACTACCCTGCTGTGCCCATCACTGTTCTCAAGTCTTACTGCTTCTTTTCTATGTATTTATTTCTCTTAGCCAGTCTTATTCTTCAGTGTTTTGACATTTTTAAATGGCTTATTATCTCAATGTTATTTATACAACACTTTGGAGAGAAAGATACTATATAAATGGAGTAAAAATACTGCAATAATGATGCTTTTTTAATGTCATGTCATCTTATTAGTTCTGCTATGTCAATAATCACTGTGTCCCTCCTATAACTACCTCTCTACCATTTAACTGGAAATGCTATAAGGCCCTAAAAGAACTGAAACTGAATAATCATTGTACCATCTAGCACAATCCCGTCCTCTTTGATGTTAAATGATGTTTTTATTTAAAGACAGTTACCAGGTCCCAGCCACATAATCTCCAGTCCAGTCCATGCTTGCCATGCTCCTCAATGCTCGGGTGCTTTTCTTTAAGTTTTCTTTTGTAAATCTGCAGTTGACACAATATACCTTCTATTTTTAGTTGTTATTGTTGCTAATGCTTACCCGAGGATATTTTTTTCCACTGATTTTTACAGAGTGGGAAGGAGGCAGGGAGGGAGGAAAGAGATAGCGAGAGCGAGAGCGAGAGCGAGAGCGACATTGATGTGAGAAAGACACATCGATTGGCTGCCTCCTGCACATGCCCCAACCAGGGCTGGGGATCGAACCTGCAATCTGGGTATTGCCCCTGACTGGGAATGGAACTCAGGACCCTTTGGTGCATGGGCTGATGCTCTAACCACTGACCAGGGCACACTGTACCTACTTTTAACCCATCCTCCTGCTTTTCTGCACCCCCACAGGGCAATGGTGTGAAAAAATCATCAAGCAAAAAGTCTTCATTACAAACCAAACTGGCTACACAAGAGAACTAGTATAAACTCTATACATTCTCTACTTAATTCAATAAAGAACCTAAGAATCATAAATTTTTACAAGGAGAACTTTAAATATCCAGCTCAATCTTCTCCCTACATAGAGAGAAAGAAAGTTAATGCCAACTCATCAGAAATTCAGAATTAAGCCTCAGAGTTTTCTAACTCTTAGGCTAAATTAGCAGCCTGTACAATAGAAGAGCTTTAGAGTTTAATCTGGATTCAAATCCTGACCACTATTTACTGGGCATATGGCTAAAAGCAAATTGTTTAATCTTTTGGGGTCTTGTCTGTAAAATGAAGGAAGAGAGAGTTAATTCTACCTCTCAGAATAATATCAACTAAATAAGATAATGTACTTATGTAATGTATCTAGCACATGAATACTCAACAAATATCATTAAAAATAAAAGGTATTTTCCTAGTTTAAAGAAAGGGCATGGAGTTCTCTCTTCCATTTAGCCCTGATGTTTACATTACATTGCAGTTCTTACTCTCTTGTTCCTTTTCTTTCTGAATCAGTCAGCATCCAACTTCTGACATAAACAAAGTCCCCAGAAGTCTAGAATAGCAGATTTACACTGAATGGCCAGATTATTATGACCACCTGACGTTTGTAGGCAAATTAGCTATAATTTCACGCTGAAGTTGCTAGAGGGCCAGACCATTATAAATAGGGAAGCAGGTTGTTTACCACGACAGTAGAAGTGATTTTTTTCTGAAGATATGGACAGTGCTATTCATCACATCACCTTTCAACGTCTCGTGGAGTCAATGCCAAGAAGAATCACCGCAGTATTGAAGGCAAAAGGTGGCCCAACGAAGTACTGAGGGGGTGGTCATATTAATCTGGCCACTGATGTTCAAATATATCCCATGTTCAAAGGCTATTAAATCGTGTTGTTTACCCATATCAAACTCCATCAGGTCATACTGCTAGAAGTAGATCACTTGGATAAGGGAGGATGCACATTTTTAAAGCATTTGGTACATATTGTCAATTTCTCTTCACACAAACCCTGTGCTTTCCCACAGCCCAACATTTACTATGGTATATAAGAATCATCTATTTGTCAGTTTCCCACATTAGATAGGCCCAGGGAAAAAAAGACTGCTCAATAAATGTTATCTGCATTTAAAGGCAAAATATTTTTCTGTAGAAAACCTATCATTGGATTAC